CACACACACACACACACACACACACACACACACACACACACACACACTAAACACCTAAGAAAGTAAAGCCCACCTTACAAGAGGTTCTATAAGACCGGTGATGTGCCAGACGCCACCAGGCTGTTTGGAAACTTCTGTCTCTTCTGGGAACAGAAGGTTCCACTGGCTTTGTGGAGGAGGTGGAAGGGCTGTCCAGACCTCTAGCAACCTAGGACCTAAGTTCATCCCTCATCAAAGCTGCTGCCCTGGCACCCAGAAAAAGTCAACCAATTCTACTCTCATTTCCAAGTTTTGACATTTTTATATATTTTAATCAATTACATTTTAAAATTGCGTTTGCTGTGGTCATAGTATGATGTATTTGTGAGTGCAGGCGTGAAGGTCAGAAAATTAAATGTGGAGTCAGTCCTCCGCAATCTTTAGGTGGGCTCCAGGAATCAAAGTGAGGTCCCCTTGTTTGGCAGGTGTGTTTATCCAATGAACCGTCCCACTTTAACCATTAGTTACATTTTTTTTTTTAAAAGTTCATTTCCCCAGTTCTTTTTGTTTGTCTTTCAAGTGAGCCCTGGCTATCCTAAAACTAGTTCTGTAGACCAGGCTAGCCTCAAACTCAGAGATCAGCCTGCCTCTGCCTTCAGAGTGCTGGGATTAAAGGCGTGTGCTACCGCTGCCCAATTTTTTTCAATTCTTTACATGCAAAAAATTTATTTCTATTTTATGTGTATGAACGTTTTGCCGGTATGTGTGCCATGTACATTCAGGGCTCTTGGAGGTCAGAAGGTGGCACTGGCTCCCCTGGAACTGGATTTAGAAATGGTTGTTAGTGGCCAGGAGGGTCCTGGGAACTGAACCTGGATCCTCTGAAATAGCAACAAATACTCTTAACTGTTGAGACAGCTCTCCAGCCCCAAGAAAGCTCTTTTTTTCATATATATAAATAAAATAAAAAAAATATATATAATTTATAAATATATATGAAGAAAAAGAGCTTTAATACCTGTGTATCACATAAATATATATTATGTCAAATAAATATATATTATTTTTATATATATGAAAAATATATAAATATATTATTTATAAATATATTTTTATATATTTATATGTTTATTTATATATAAATATATATGAAGAAAAAGAGCTTTAATACCTGTGTGCCTGATGCCTGCTCAGGTCAAAAGAGAGCATCAGAGCCTCTGGATACAGAGTTAAGGACTGATGTGACCCAGCTTGTAGGGGCTGGGAATCTAAATCGGGTCCTCTGCAAGGACCACTGAGCCCGAGAACCAAGTCTCAGAAGTTGTTCTCTGACCTCAACACATGTGCACTGTGGCATGCGTGCCTTTAATAAAGAAATGTTTAATAATATTTAATAAATATTTAATAAAGAAATGTTTAAAAAAAGACATAGGCCCGTCACTGAGGGAGGGGTGCCGCTGCTGCCCTCAGAAGGGATTAAGATACTTTGGTTTGACTCTAGCTATTATTTTACAAGAGCCATTTGTTAGGGTGTCCACCCCAAGGAAGGAGGATCTGGACAGTCTGAAAAAAAGAGTCTGATGAGTTCAGCTTGGGGAAATAAATGGATATATTAGATAACTTTTCTTTCTCTCTCTCTCTCTCTCTCTCTCTCTCTCTCTCTCTCTCTCTCGGTCTGACTATTTGTTACTTTTTGGGGAGCGGTAGCATTCCAGACAGGATTTCTCTGTGTAGCCTTGGCTGTCCTGGACTTCTATTTGTAGACCAGGCTGGCCTGGAACTCACAGAGCTCTGCCTGCCTCTGCCTCCCGTGTGCCGGGCTTAAAGGTGTGCGCCACCACCACCCTCCTTGTTTTCCTAGTACATCGTTTCTTCAGGACGACTTGGGGTAACAAGGTGGCCAGTCACCGGTGCTTTGGGCCCGGGTCCTCTTACCATCTTTAAGGGCTTCCTGACATTTTAGAGAGACTGAAAAGGCTGTGGATTCTCCTAGCTCTTTTGAGGTCTAACCACCGAGGTATAGCATCTGTTAGTCCAGAAATGTCCTTCTCTCCTATTTTTTTTTTTTTTTTGTTTTAACAATACCAATTTGAGAGCACTCAGGTTGGCGTCCGTCCGCAACGCACTTGTACTTCCTCTGCCCAGTATTTCCCCTTGGTCTATGTCAGCAACACCCTTACCCAACAACAGGCGGACTGTGCTGTTGGCTAAGACAGCTTGCTTCATGGGAAAGCCTGTTAGTCATCCTCACCACCGATGCGAACGCAGAACCCTTTCCATGCCACCCCAAGTCTCGCACTGACAGCTACTTTGGATGCCGTAAGCTTCTCATACAAGGTGCAGAGTCGGCCGGGAGGTGGTAGGGCATTCCTTTAGTCTCAGCACGAGGGAAGCAGAAGCAGGCAGGTCTCTGAGTTCGAGGAGTTCCAGGACAGCCAGGGCCACACAGAGAAACTGTCTCAGGGAGAGAAAAAAAGAAAAAGTGCCATGTTTGCATTCATCACCCACTTCAGTGTGTTCCTTGACAGCCAGTGCCTGGGAGAAGATATTCAGCTTCATTCTGGCCAACCGCCTTGGAGATACCACAAAGCTCTATGAAGTAACTTTCAAGAGCACAACCCCAAACTCCCAACGGCTTGACCACCAAGCACCGATTTCTTATTGGTTGAAGTACGCAGCAGAATCAGTGCAAACCTGGGTTCAGAGCGCCCCCTAGTGTTAAAGCTGTAGAGACGACTACAGGCTCCGACCGCAAAAGGCAAACAGCCATCTGGGAAAGCCAAGATTTCTGTTTCCAGGACTAGGATGTGACTGATTTGCTGAATCTGGCAGACAGGACAGCTAAATGATATTCTGCATCGATATGGAGTTATTCTAAGGCTGACTGTAGTGGCTCGTTTTGTAGTTCCCATACTCTGGATGTGGAGGCTGAGGCTGGAGAAAAGTTTGAGGTCAGGAGTCAGAGGACTAGTCCTACCAACGTCAGTGAAACCTTTTCTCGAAAAGCAAACGAAGGGGCTAGAGAGATAGCTCAGCCATTAAGTGTATGGTCTTTCAAAGGACCTAGCACCCACAAAGACTCAAAGCCGCCTGTAACACCAGCTGCAGGGGGTCTCATGGCCTCTGTCTCGCTCACACAGCACCTACACTCATGAGCACATACTTATACACACGCACACACAAAATTAGAAATGACAAAATAAACCTTTAAAAAAGCAAAATAAGGCCTGTCAAAGTGGCACACACCTTTAATCCAAGCACTTGGGATGCAGAAAGAAGTGAATCTTTATGAGTTTGAGGCCAGCCA